TGATAATTTGAAAATGAATATTTCACACTATGATGTGGAATAAATCCATATCTTCCAGATCATGCACACAACGTAAGGCCTTCATTTCTTAGAGGAGTCCTCCTGTTTTCCAACACCAGCATCTTACAGATGACCAGCTATTTTTCAGTCTCCCAGAATTTCCTGGGCAAAGTTGTGTTATTTTCCTCCTTCTCCTTCTTCTTTTTTAAAAGTAAACACATAGAGAGAGAAGCATTTTGTCGAGGAAATGGGTTACGGTAGAATCCCTGGTCCCCAAAGAGAAGGAGAGTGAGAGTCCCTCCTGCATGTCCATTATATTGGGAGCAGGCCACACCTCCAAGGAAATATCCTTTTAATTGATTGGCTACTCATAGTCACTCATCATAGTGTTAACTGTGCCTGTATTATGTTTCATCACCATGGGAACCAACACATCCCAACTGCTGAACCTCTGGAAATCCTGGCCTAGTCAAATTGACACGGATCCCTAAGTATTACAGTCCACCCTTGTCAACTTGAAACCTATAAACTATATCTCTAAATGAAACATAATTTCTAAATGAAGATAATTGTAAAGGCATGCTCACACCTAACATGATATAACTAAAACAGGTACAACAAAAAAGTACTGGTCTTATTTACACAGAAATTAAATAGACTACATCTGTGGAAAGACACAGTGGAAAAGCTCCAAATCATCAGCCAAAACAAGGACATGGCAGACTGTGAAACAGATGTCAATTGCTCATATGAAAGTTCAGGCTGAAGCTGAAGAAAATTAAAACAAGTCCACAAGAGTCAAAATATGACCTTGCACACATTCCACCTTAATTAAGAGATAATCTGAAGAACAGATTTGATGCATTAAATACTAAAGACTGAAGACCAGAATAGTTATGGGATGAAACAAGAACATATACAGGAAGAAAGCAAAAGGTCATTAAGAAGACAAGAAAGAAAGAAAAGACCAAAATGGATGTCAGAAGAAACTCTGAAGTTTGCTCTCCAGCACAGAGATGTTAAAGCAAATGGAAGAAATGAGGAGGTACAAGAGCTGAACAGAAAATTACAAAGGGAAGCTCGAGAAGACACGTCAAAATTATAACAAAATGTGCAAAGACCTGGAGGTAGAAAACTAAAAGGGAAAAACACCCTCAGTATTTCTCTAGCTGAGGGAACTGAAGAAAAAGTTCAAGCCTCAACTTCCAATATTGAAGGATTCTATGGGGGAAATACTGATTGATGCAGAAAGTATCAAAACATGATGGAAAGATTACATAGAGTCACTGTACCAAAAACAATTGGATGATGTTCAATCACTTCAAGAGTAGCTTATAATCAAAAGCCAACATTATTTGTCATTTCATGCTCTCTTCTGAAATTGGCTTGAACCTCTGGAATTCTGTCAACGTATGGTTGCAGGCAATTTTGAATTATCTTTAGCAAAACCTTGCTTTCATGGCATATTAATGACATTGTATGATGATTTCCGCATTCTGTTGAGTCACTTCTCAGTGGAATGGGCACAAATATGAATCTCTTCCAGTTAGTAGGCCAGGTAGTTGTCTTCCAAATTTCTTGGCACAGAAGAGTGAGTGCCTCCAGTGCTGCATCAATTTGTTGAAAGATTTCAGTTTGATTGCTGACATTAGATGGATCTTGGCTGAAATCAGAGAATATCAGAAAGATGTTTACCTGTGTTTTATTGACTACAAAAAGGCTTTCGATTGTGTGGATCATGACAAGTTTTGAACAACATTGAGGAGAATGAGTATTCCAGAACACTTAATTGTGCTCATGAGGAATATGTACATAGACAAAGAGGCTGCTGTTTGAATAGAACAAGGGAACACTGAATGGTTTAAAATTAGGAAAGTTGTGTGCGAAGGTTGTATTCTTTTGCCATTCTTATTCAGTCTGTATGCTGAGCAAATAATTTGAGAAGCTGGGTTATATGAAGAAAAACATGGCATCAGGATTGGAGGAAGACTCATTAGCAACCAGCGATATACAGATGATACATCCTTGCTTGTTAAAAGTGAAGAAAACTTAAAATACTTACTGATGAAAATCAAAGACCACAGCCTTCAACATGGGTTGCATCTCAATATAAAGAAAACAAAAATCCTCACCACTGGACCAATAAACAATGTTCATATAAATGGAAAAAAGATTGAAGTAGTCAAAGACTTCATTTTTCTCAGATCAACCACCAACACTCATGGAAGCAGCAGTCAAGAAATCAAACAATGTATTGCATTAGGCATATCTGCTTCACAAGACCTCTTTAAAGTGCTCAAGAGCAAAGATGTCAGTTTGAGAGCTAAGGTGTGCCTTACCCAAGCCATGGTATTTTCAATAACCTCATATACATGTGAAACTTAGACAGTGAGTAAAGAAAACTACAGAATAATTGATGCATTTGAGCGATGGTGTTTAAAGTGAATATTAAAAACACCATGGACTTCCAAAATAGCAAACAAATCTGTTGGAGGCCAGGATGGCCAGACATGTCTCTCATACTTTGGACATATTATCAAGAAGAACTGGTACTTGAACAAGGATATTATATTTGGTAAAGTGGAGGGTCAGCGAAGAAGAAGACCCCCAGAGAGACGGCTTGGCACAGTGATGGCAACAATGGTTCAGGCATAGCAGCGATTATGACATTGGCTCAGGACTGGATATGTTTTGTTCTTGTTCTTGACCCTTGTATATAGGGTCGCTGTGAGTTGGTACCAACTTGATGGCACCTAACAACAACAATAATATGTCACAGTTGAACAAAGCAAAAATATTTGATGCACACTCAAAATAAAACAAAAATAAATATTCATCCAAATATCCAAATGGCATATCTGCAAGCCAGCATCCTGCTCATAGGCACACATCCTTACCCAGTCCATGGGCCAAGGGCTCATAGTTGCTTTGTCTTTCCATACCAGCGCTTCGGTCGCCTTCTCTGCTGTTACTGCTTTTCCAGTCAGGGATCTCATGATCCACTCATGCTCTTTTTTAATGATGGTCCTGGGATCCCCTATTCCTGAAATGAAAGGTAACTACTCTTCTACAATTCCATAGAAGTTACATATCTCCTACAATTACAGTTTGACAATCACAATTAATCCTTATAACAATTACTCACAACTGAAATCATAAAATCCATCAGCATCATCCTCCAGCCCCTTTTACAGACCCATCCAGCAAAAAGGGAAACTAGTTAGTAGGGATTCTCCCTTGTCTCCTCATTCTAAAACTAAGTACACCCATGATAGCTTGTAAGCCAATCACCTCATAACTTTACAGTCCCCATTTTTGATAGCCAATGGAGTCCTGGTGTGGCGCTGTGGGTTAATGCGCCAGACTGCAGTCATTTGAACTGCAAGGTCAGCGGTTCAAGCTCACCAGCTACTCCTTGGAAACCCTGTACAGGGTTGCTATGGGTCGGAATCGACTCGATGGCACTTGACAACAACAACAACATCAACCCAATATGCTGAGGAGACAAGCATGTTCCTTGATCAGGAGAATCTTCCATTCTGGTTGGAATTTTGAGTAACTGCATCCATAAACAAAAGTCCAGTCCAACAAATTGTAACACTTGACACTTGCTCAGAGTATCAAACATCTTTATCTTCATCTGATCAGGTTCTGGTTAGCTCAACGGTAGCCATTCCAGCTAGGTCAAATGGGTACCAGCTGTAAGTTTGGGAGTTCACACACACCTCCTTGCACTTCAAAGCAGCTAGCACCTTCACTCTCAGCCCTAGCCCCCATGGGCCAGGTTCATGGGCTCAGGAGTTCACATAACTCCCTAACATTCAGGCCCTCCAGGCTTCCCTCTCCTCTTAACACAAGGTCAATGGGTGCTGATAGAACATGTCTAAACTCTGCCTTTGTCTTCACTGCTGAATTTTCCCCAATTCCACTCACAAGTAGATCCAGGTGATGGTCACTGTAGAATATATGGCTCGCCTACTCCCTTTAACTTTTAGTCCTAGAAATGAGTTTTCTCTGATGGGCTAAATTTCCTTGTCTTGATGCCTCCAAAACTCAAAATGCCAGATGTTCTGCCTTTTTTTCTCTGCTTGAATCTCCTGTTCTCCCAGCAGTTTTGGGTGGTCTGCATGTCCTTTCAAATGCCAAAGTTTTGATTCTGGGTGGGGATCAGAATTCCACCTACGGTCCCATACTCTACAAGGGCTTAAAGCAAGAAGCTTATTTCCACCCTCCCCACCTCCCCAACTTTGGCAAATTCTAACTTCCTTTCTCGAAAATCCAATCAAATATAGGCTGAAGGTAGGTTTATAAGCTCTCTGTAATCATAATTTCCAATATTCATTTCTATCATACATGTATGTGTATTTTACAATAATAGGCAGGAGAAACCAATATCCAAAAGGTAATAAAACACATAAACCTTTTTTAAAACACACCAAGTTCAATCTTTTCTTTTACCTTGGACTAACACAATTAATATGCATATGGCCTTGGGCTTCTGGCCAGGTGGAGTCCAGTAGGCCCCGGCCCTCTATCAGCCATCCTTTTTAACCAGCTTGTTACTGGCTCCAGGCAACTCCTGAATCTGTGACTTTACCCTCCGATTGAGTATTTTATCCTATGCCCCTTTGTTCTTTCTCTTTCTCATTATTTCACAGATCTGGAGCCATTGCAATGAATCCCTTGCCAACTGCTTAAACCAATGGGGACCATCCCTTACTTCCTCTGACTCCACAAGGGGAAAAAGGACAAAACTCAAAATCAATCCAAGACTAATTCCTATCAAGTGGAAGTAAGACATGTCTCCACCCTATATCAGTGCCTTTAAATTTGTCAGGCTTGAAATCAATTTAGATAAATAACCCTTATGATTTTGGTTCTCTAGAATCCCACTCTCTTGGTACCACATGTCTTTGGCCAGGTTTTATAGAGAAGCAAAACCACAAAACATATATATGTATATGTATAGAGAAAGGTTTATTGCTAAGGAAATGGCTTACATTTGTAAAGTCCCAGGTCCCCAGCGGAAGAGAGAGTCCTAGTTTCCTTCTAATAGACATTACAACCCTTTGGGGATCCCAGCATAGTTCATGGGGGCCCAGATTCAGTTCCTTATTTGGCTGCAAGGTTATATCCATTGTGGCCAAATGGCATTAAGACTCCAACCCCTAACTGCTAGAACTGACGACGACTTCCTCTTCTGGTGATGGTGGATTTGGTAATTTTGACCAATCCTCCTGCTGAAACAACTGAAAAAGAATTACACTATAAAAGTCATACTCCTAAAAGAATCAAAAAATTAAAAAGATATTGAAATACTGAACAAGATCCAGAGTTTAAGATAAAATTCAGGAAAGTAGTTGAAATAACATTTGTTTGTGCCCTGGGGACATTTGTTAATCCAGAAGAGGTAGCTAGACAGATACAGAGATGTATAGCCCAGATCCCCCATTAAGGAAGGTCTTGATGCCCTCACTGCTGCTGAGAGTACTGTTAGCCAACATGCATCCATTTTTATCCTTTTAAGGGGTGTCGTAGTTGCATAGAGGCACCTAGATTATGCCATACCTGGGATGTCCCACAGCCAGCAACTGATCCAACAAAGAGGGAGTATATAAATTTAGCCACTTTGATGCTGCTTAAGTCAACATGATGAGTCATTTTAACTCAGATGTCACTGAACTTTTAGTACAGTTTGGTTTCTACCCAATCCTACCTCTTTCTTTTCTTTTTCATAGTTATTAATGAAACTTTCATATAAACAACCAAAATACATTTATCTCTGTAGAAGTATCAAAATCTTTGCTATTGCAGACTGGCTTCCCTGGGAAACAATGCTTTTTGAAATATTTAAAGAATTGAACTAATGGGGAAAAATAAGGTCTCAGGACTTAAAGAAACAGTTTTGTGGTTGACCCAGAAAATCTCAGCTCTTGAGACTGGAATATGGTGAGCCAAGATGGCTAGTACATCAGTCATATAATAGCAACAATAGAATCCACTTTGGAGGACTCCTACAAATCAGTAAGGAAAAAAACTGAGTACCTCAGTGTCTTAGGCTGGGTTTTCTAGAGAAGCAAAACCAGTGAAGCATATATATATATATATATACTCTGGTAGCGTAGTGGTTACGAATAGGGCTGTGAACCACAAGGTCAGCAGTTTGAAACTACCAGCTGTTCCGCGGGAGAAAGACGAGGTTTTCTGCTCCCGTAAAGATTTACAGCCTCTGTGCAGGGTCGCTATGCGTCGGAACTGACTCCACGGCACTTAACAACAACATACACACACACATATATACATATATACACACACACACACATATATATACATATAGACACACACACATATATATGTGTGTATATATATATATATATA